TATGATTTTTACTGTTCACCACCAAATTCAGTCATTTCTCCATATGTTGACCAGGCGAGAAAGCTTACAAATTTCTATAGATCTTCTGCTGTTTTTATTGAAGTCAGAAGCTCAGCATGTAAAAACACAGTTTCACTCTCCTACTGAACATCAAAGGGTAGAAAACAAAAACAATATGTTTATGCACCTGGCTGGAGCTCAGGTACATCCAAACTCTTTGTAGTTCAGTTTGTTTATGAAAGTGCAGAAGTGTGAATGCATGCATGTGATAGTGATTTCTTGGAGCTCCTCGGTCATCTCCAAAATGACACGTTTTCCCTAGCCGACCACTGCAGCCTCACCAGCAGCTTTCCCTGTGTAAACCTGACACTTCCAGGCATAGGAAGTGGCAACATCAGCAGAGACCCAGAGTTTCAATCCGTACTTTGCTGGTTTACTTGGCATATATTGGCGAAACTTGCACCTGCCTCTGAAAGGGACAAGTATGGAGCTAGGATTGGGACAATATTCATTGTAACTTGTACCAAGTTTTGTTACTTGGAACATGTTTCATGACACGTAACTTTGGATTCGTAACTTGTAACTTTAGTTTCTAACTTGTAATTCTCAATTTGTACTTGTATTTCTTGTTTTGTAACAAGAAATTTTCATTTTGTACATGTATTTTTTATTTTGTAAAATCAAACCTTTATTTTGTACAGTTAATACTCATTTTGTAACATCAAACATTCATTCAGAAACATGAAACTTTCGGTTTTTACCTAGCAGACTTCCAAAATAAAAAAAAATCAATGTACAAGTTTGAAATCAAAACTCTGAAAACACACATTTCATTCTACAGGTACGAACCTCAAATCTACAGTGTTACGAATCTTTTTGTCTCAATTCTAGCGTCAGTGGGAGGAACTTGGGTGGAACCAATGACAGCACGAGTCTTAGCTACCAAATCACGTTTCTCGAATTCCTGTCCAATCATTGGGAGAGGAGGGCAGGGTTCTGTCAGAGCTGTAGAGAGTTACGACACTTCAATCGACTCCTAGGGAAAGAATGGAATGCGGGAGTCACGTGGTTCATGTAGCTTCGAATAGTTCCAAACAGCCCCTGCTGCTGCATTGATCGTAGTTCATTTTCGGTGTTTCTGAAGGATTTTCTCCAGTAAGTTGATGAAATGTCATCATTTTGTTGCATTGTGAAGCGTTAGCTAACCGCTTTGTACCAAGATAAGCCAACGATGATATTTTATGTTGCCAGTTTTAGCTAGATAACCTTTAATGAGCTAACTGTGTGCAGCTTGTTGATTGTGAGCAGGAGGACGAGCTGTAGACGGGTTTATTTCAGTTTGTTTGATTCTACGTTTTAAAAATATTCCCCACAGTTTGAAATAGGTTACAAACTTTTTACATTATTAGTTGTATTTGGGATTTTTTGTACAATACGTTGCTGGTTGCTGTATCAACACGAACATGCATCAGAAATGGAAGCACAAATGGAGAGACCAATAATAAAGAAAATGTGATTGTGAAGACAAGTAATTATTTAATATTTTTCAGTTAATAACACTGACTGCAGCGAACTGCTGAAGCATGAGACAAACAGGATTACGAACGTAAGAAGATATGTTGTTCTGTTTTGTGGACTCAAGTAATAAGAATAGAATTACAATAGTTCAAGAACAGTAGTCGAACAATAACTTTAAAAAATTAGACATTTTCCATAAAACTGCTCATTTCCACTTGCTTTATAATATTAGCATTTGCAATTTTGTTATTAAGGAATGACAAGAAATAAGAATTTATAACACAACTATCAATAAATAAATGTCAAAGAGTAACCAAAATAAAAATGTTATGTAACCATTAAAGGTTAAACTGTGTTGTGTGTCCATCTTCATGTTTTCATAGTGGCTGAGCGAAGAGCTGACCAGGAACAACGGCGGTGGCAAACCCCAGTTGGGTCTGTGATGGAGTGATGCACGCCTGGAGTGATTGCCTTCTCATCCACAGTAAGCACACACTCTCTTTCCATCTGTCAGATTTATAACCTTCAAACTGAGCATGTCACACACCTCTCCTAACACACCTGGTTCCAGCTTAATGGGCTGCATTTGTCTTTGCAGGGTTCTAACATCAGGCAGAGGGATACTCGTGTCCTGAAGAAACCTGTAGCCTGTTGAACCCACTGAAAAACAGAGTTGTACGGCCTTTTTCATTGTCTGTTTACTCCATTAAATGCCTCGTGTTTTTCATGCCTTTTTGACTTTCTATTTCCTCCCTTAGGTTTTCCAGCTGGGTTCCCTGGTTGCGTAGCCTGTTCCTTTCTCCTCCTGGCCCTGACGCCAGCTCCTCATGGCTTCCTGGGATGTCCCCCTCTCCTGATACCATCTCATGTCCCCTCTCACTTTCTCTCATTTCATTTGCCTCACTGCTGCTGCTGCTGCTTTCCTCTTTCTCTGAAATTATAATGGCACTGTTAGAATAAAGAATAATTTTAAAATAAAATAAATACAAATGTCTAATATTTCTAAAGATTTGTACCACAGTTTACTTGAATACAATATGTGTGGTCACTGGTCAGTGGATCAACATGCAGTGGTTCTGCTGTACTTCTCACTGTGGGATCCTTCCTCCTCCTTGGTTCATGGTGATGAACAAACAGGGTTGGAACAGCATCAGCCCTGAGTCTAACCTTGTCTTGCCTAAGCTTAGTAAACTGTCCCTCCTCAAAATGTGCCTGTAGAGTGGTGTATTAGTTTATTTCCTGTCACATTTAACAGTTTAATTGCAGGCTTGTGCAGTTGAGAGCAAAACATGTAGAGCCTTGATAGAAAACATTTGAGAGTGCACATTAAACTCAGTGCACACAGCTTTTTGTTGTGATCTCTGGTCATGGTGAGGTTGCTCCTGCTAACTTGAGCCAACCATTTTCTTCTCTCTGCATCTTTGAGTAAGCCATAATTCTGATTCCTCCCTCAGACTGATTGCTATATGCAGCACAGCCAACCATGTAAGATAATCAACCTATAAAGGGATTATTAAAATACTATTTTTGTACATATAGAAATATTGAACTGAACCAAAAATGTAGAGAGGTAAAATTACATTTTAAAATTTTACCCAACCCTAAAACTAGTAATTTCAAATTTTAACCCACTGACACATTTTATTTTAATAATAATCAAAATAAAGTTATTCAAAAGAGTTTCATTTTATTGATTCAGCTTGTTTGTGCATATGCAATGACTAAACATAATGTTGGTACAATGCTTTATTAAAATGCTATTATACATGTTGTACAAGTTTGGTGTTCATTTTTTCACAAATAACACTTTTTTATCTACTGTGTTTGACCATACAGTTTGATTGAAAATTTATTTTTAATTAGTTGCTATAGAAGCCATATAAACTGGGTTATAGATGCATGTACTGTCTTCACATAAAATATAAAGTAATGATTGTAAAATGTATTCTACTGAACATAATATATCATCATTCAAAGCATAAACAGCTACATATTTTCTTCATGGTAAGTTGGAGCAGAATTCTAGCTTTCAATAAACACTTTAAAATGGATATTACAGCTCGAGTTTAGGGCTTCGTGTAGGACTTAAAGTTATTAAATATGCTTATATTAGAGCAGTGTGTTGCATTACTACATCAAATTTATTGCTATAATATATTATAGTAATGTATGTGGTCTAAATGTGTTCTACAGTGTGTTAGGACTGTCGTGTTCCTGTAATGTAGAACAGTCACGAGTGTGTCTTCCTACAAATGCTCGGAAAAATATAAATACCCTTACCAAAAATAAGTACACTGAAGTATACTTGAAGTATACTAAAAATGAATACAGTATACTTCCAAGTTTACTTTCAATGTACTTTATATTATATTTGGAACTTTTTATTTTTGAATTAGAACAACAACATTTACATGGAGATGCATTTGAGTTTCTTCTTCCCTTCTCCAGGGCAGTGTTTCCCTGAACAAAGTTTGAATTTCCTTGTGGCCATGAGATCTATCCAACTTAACCAAATCACCAATCAGTACCTATAGTTCTGACAAGCTTTCTCTGTATTCATCTTATCTGCTCTCTACTACATTCTACATTTTACTTTGATCTAGCTAAATAACTCACCCAAAAGACAAAAATACATAAATAAATAAAAAAAAATTAATAATAATAATTTTCACATGAGAGTACTATCTTTCTAACATTTGTTTTATTGGTTCCCACATTTTTTCAAATTTCCCTAGTCCCAGTCATAGTCTTGCATTAAATTGTTCCATTTTGTAGACCTGTCTAACTCTGTCTCTCCACTGTGCCACCCTTGGGGGTTCTGTGTCCAGCCATAAAACTGTAATACACTTCTTGGCAGTCATAAGCAGAATTCTGATTACGTATGTCTCCATTATGTGTGTATGATTTTTGGTACAGCATTCCCAGTACAAACCATTTTAACTTAAATTGTAATTTCACCTTCAAGGTTCTTTCAATTTCTCCCTAACACCTTCCCAGAAGGGTATGAATTTAGGGCAGTCCAAAAGTATATGTGAAAAGTCTCCCACTAGCCCGCATTTTCTCCAACATAAATTTGAAATATTACTATTTAGACATGATAAGTGGAGTTTTAAAGCATGCATCTTCACCTTCCATTCAAATTCCCTCCAAGACGGACTATTAGTTTGTTTATGGCCTGCTTCAAGTGTTTCCTCCCATCCCTCATCTGTTATCATTATGTTCAATTCCAGTTCCCATTTTTCTTTAATATCTATATTCTCAACAATCAAATCCTGTTGTAAAGCTTTATATATTTTGAAATCAGTCCTTTTTGACATGTCCTTTCTGTTTAACATAATCACTTCCTCCATATTAAGTTCATCCTTGCTTGAAACTTTGCCTTATTTTGAAATAACTACTCTGTCTGTCTGTCCTAAATAACATATTAAGCATGAAATTACGAATTATTGTGAAATTACACGCACAGGAAGTGCTTTTATTTTGTAGCCTTTGCTCAGTCAGCTCTCGAAGCTTCTCAGCAGACCAAGAAGAAGAGCGAGGGTCGGAGGTGCATTAACCGTCGGAGGTCGCGCTTCTGTTCTGCATCTGCACTTGACAGTCACTGGTTCTGCACCACTGAGCTAAATGTAAGTAGCCGCCATAAAAGTTGCTTAAATGTTTTAAATGTTTTTAAGACGGACATGGTGAGTAATGTTGGCCACGTAGCAAGCTAATATGCTAAGTCATTGCATGAGTTAGCTGTGTTATTAACTTTGTGTGCGACTAAAGTCCGTTTATTAAATTAAATGAGCAGCGCTATCTCATTATTAAAGGTTAGCATTACTTTAGATACTTTTTTATTAGACTTCTAGAGACTTATTCCCTCCATTTTTGTCCCCTCCATCGTAATTTTTTAAACGTGACGTTCTGAGAAAAAAATAAAAGCGGGAGCTCAGCGCCACCAAGTCAAACTTAAACGTCCACTTATTAAAAGTAAATGAGCAGTGATCTCTTGTACAGCGATGAAAAAATCAGTCTGTGTTGTAAACTATTTCCCCGTAGCACCCGTGCGATAGCTTTGCAAGTAGCCTGCTTTTTTTAACCATAGAAGAGGATTGTGACCGCAAGAGATGAAGCGGTGCTGTATCTCGATGCTATATTCCCTCCTTCCCTCCATTTTTGTCCCCTCCATAGTTTTTTTAAATAGTGCTCAGTTGCACATATCTTGAACCGCAGAACGCTGTTTCTATTAATTTCACAGTATTTTAGTGTTGTAATTTTGTCCTTACTGTACACTGTTACTCCAGATTCTTAAATGTTATGTTTTTAGCTTTGTGTGGATAAGTCAAATTACACTTGAATCTCCTCTCACACACACACACACACACACACACACACACACACACACACACACACACACACACACACACACACACACACACACACACACACACACACACACACACAATTTAGATTATTAATGATTTAGCTTCATATATAGTGGAGGACTGCCTAAATTTTGCAGACTAACACAGATCTACCTTGTGATTCACAATGTTTGCTTTCTCTACTGATTATGCTTCCTGGTGTAGATGTGTAAATGTAGAGCATCTGCGTTCCTATGAGCTGTCAGCCACACCGGGAAGCCTGTCTATGAATCTGCAGTCAGACTTCAATGATCCAACCCCACTCTCTGCACACAAGATTGATGGCATGCTGCTGTTGACCCCCAAGAGGTTCATACAAGTGAGACCACTGGTGAGTAATTCTCACAATCTGCATTTTTTATGGCACATCCTAAATAACATGACTACATATGTATGTATGTATATATGTATACAGATTTGTCTTTTAAAACTGGTGAATATACAATTTACAGGTAATGCCTTTATGCTATGAGTATTAGAGCCACTGATGGAAAAAAAATATAGAATTCTGAGAAAGTAAGTCATAAATCTGAGTTTAATCTCAGAGTTCTGACTGGTACCTAAAACAAAAAAAAGGGAAATTGGGGAAGATTATGGGGGGGATCAGAATTCTGACTTAAATCTTAAAATTCAGGCTTTTTTTTGTTTGTTTGTTTGTTTTGATTTTTTTTAACAAAAAAAATTCCTAAATAGTTTTTTGTTTGTTTGGTTTTAGGTTCATGAAAAAAGTCAGAGTTCTGACTTTAATCCCAGAATTTTGAAATTATCTGACTTTTTTTCTCAATTCTTTTCTTTTTCTTCAGTGACTCTAATACTCTTAGGCAATAAGGCAGTATTAGAGCCACTGAAGGAAACAAATGAATACTGAGATAAATGTCAGAATTCTGACTTTATTTATTTTATTTATTTTCAGAATTTTTTCTTCTTCAGTGGCCCTAATACCCCTCCGTATTATGTAATGTTAAACAATTCAAATTAACTTTTGAATTCAGCAGTTTATCATTGGATTTAGATGCAGATGTCACTGTCTTGGAAAATTGGTCAGAGCAGTTTGGCATTGAGTTTGATTAGTAAACTTGACAGTATTTACACTCTTAATCTTCTTAGGAATTACATGATGTCCACACAAGGCGTACCACTGTTCTCCATGCCCTTCCTGTCTATCTACGTGAGGAAACCTCTGGGTTTTTGAGGACATGTGTGGTAAGTCCCAGTATTGTAAATTTGAACAAATCATTCTATTTATTTATGCATAAAGACAACACAAGGACAACACACATGAACATTTTGGAAAATGTGCCATTGTTTCAACTACAAACCTTTGGCAAGATGTTTAAGCCTGCCACACACGAGAGCAATCAGCTGAGCAAACGGCCTCGAATGACTGTTTGCTCAGCAGATTGCTCGCCATGTGCGCCTGATTTTCACTGACTTTTCTGCCTCACGAGACGCTGAGGTGAATATCTGACCAGTTAGATATTTTCCGCCTCACAGGGGTAAAAACTCGCTGTGTGTGTGTGCATTACTGAGCTGCTGGCTGAGCTGAAATATTCTAGTGGAATTTCCTTTTCTCTTTTCTGCTGTCTTTTCTTGGACCCATCTGCTTTATGATCCTGAATTCTCAATTCCAATTTGTCGCAAGCTGCGACATTGAAAGTGCCTTCAGATGGCCACGGATTGCATAGGGCAGCACTACGGGATAGACACTGTAGGACAGGCGCTTGTTTGCCCGGCTGCAGGTGGAACAAAGACAAAGGGGAGGAGCACGTGTGCCAACATGTGAACTTTAATCAATGACTGGGGTCACACTGGACTTACAAACAGATGCTCAAAGAGACTGTTTCCCCTAGGGTCCACCCAGTGAAGGAGTGCTTGCTGCAGTTAGGTAATGGAAAAAGCTTTTTGGCAACAATCAGTTGATTTGGTGAAATGTTAGAATTGTGAAACATTTACTAAACTACTGCAGAACATAGTTAACTGAGAAAGTTAGCCTTTAAAAAAAAAAAGGATTAGTAACCTGGTCCAACTCACCATTGGATGCAGTAGCAGTTTTAGGCACGGGCAGACAGGGCAGTTGCCCGGGGCGGCATTTTTTCATGACACAAAAGGGGCGCACAGGCGCTGAGTAAAAAAAAATAAATAAAAGAAACCTGCGCCGCACCGAGGTTTTCTATTATCTGTCATATGACAGTGTCTGGATTGGAAACAGCAAGTTGGCGCCCCCTGCAGCTGCAGGCGCTCCGTGCACCGTGTGTGTATGAAGAAGAGGAAGGGGAGGGGTGCGGCGGGGGAATTCACCTCTGGGTGGGTCCAAATGAAATGAGCGGGTAGGGGCTGAATCAACTGTATTAACATGGCTAAAGTCAATCACATATTGATGTTCTTCCATTTAACGCACATTTCATTGATAATATCATAAACACAGGCCTATCATTCTTTCAGTTGTTTCTGAATTGTGTGAAATGGCCGAATAAAAAAAGGAAAAACAAAACGATTTTGTGGTCACCCCCCCATCAAGGTCAAATTGTTTAGTCCTGACTAATGGAAACGTATTGAGTCAAGAGCCAAACAGAAGAGATGAACATAAAAAGGCTAAAACCACCAGGTGCCCGATTCAGGAAAAAAAAGAGGAGAAAGATAAAGGTATGTTCGCTCTCATGATGCATGTTTTCAATTTTTTTAACCAGTTAACTGGGATTTTAACGGTTAAATTCGGTCAACTAATTGCTAACAGAGCTAATAGGGCTGAAATATTGAAACGAATATTCAAATTGTTCGAAAAAATTCCTTGAATCGTTTTTTACTGATTCAAACTTGTTAAATGCTCGCTGCACCCTGTGGCCTGCCTGAACAACAACAAACACATGATCATGTTCACATAATAACAAATAAAACAACTCTACAAGCAGAAGAAAACTTCCCAGTCACCACTAACTATCCTGTTTATTTATTGCAGATGGCTGCACTGATTATTTTTTACCTGATTTGTTCTGTAAAAGTTGGCATTTTTGTTAGTCTACAGTTTTTTATGTCAGTTTAAATTACAATTTCAGAGGCCATTCTAAAATATTATGGATCATGATAAAGATCTATTGGAGATCTACCCCAACTTTTGGACTGCTCTGCCGGTCACTGTGGCTCAAGCTGAGAGGAGCTTTTCAAAACTTGATCAAGTCATACCTGAGGTCACCTATGTTTCAGGGGTGGCTCACTAACCTGGCTCTGATTAGTATCAATCACTCAGTAGGGGAGCAGATTTCATATGATGACATTATTGATGACTTTGCATCAAGGTTAGGTTTTAATTTTAGTTTGTTTTTTCTGTTCTAAGTGCAATGCTGTAGTGATTATCTTTAGTTTGTTATGTGTGAAATATTTTTGCTATTTAGAATATTTATTATATATTATGTGCATATATTCTTAATATTTAGTTAGTTTAGTTGTTTTTGTATATTTGATTCTATATATTTTGATACAGTATATAATGTTTATTGCTTTACATTCTGACAACTTCATAGTAATTAATGTAAATATGTGCAACTTAGAAAAATGAATGTTCAATAGTCATTCGAATAAAACATGCCTGTTTGTAGAAAACATGTGTGTTCGTGCAGGTGGGGTGGTGTGGTGGTGGTGGTGGGGGCGGTTGGGGGGGGGGGGGGGCGCTCAAAGGGGGCCTCGCCCGGGGAGTAATTCCATGTAGAACCGCCACTGATTGGATGGCAATATAATCTTTATTGTAAGTATGATTCGAGATTTGGAAAACCGCAAGTGTCAAGTTTCTCTATGTTTGTTCTATAGCCTATCCTAGCTTTTTATCATAGCTTGTATGATTAACAAAATTTAAATGAAATTGTGGTAAAGTAGATAACTCATTGCACAACAACTTCTCGGTATTCATCAGGTTTCTTAGTTGACTGAATGACTTTTCTTATTTCTGCAAATCGTAGGATACTCAGCTACAGCGGACATGCAGTAAAGCCTTATTTTCTTTTAAAAAAAAAGCGATTCATCAGCATTATCGCTTATTTTCAATGGTTAAGGAAACAGTGTCTATTTATAAGTCTAGGAGAACGCTTTAGGCTTCAACAGTTTTTTCTCCTTAACCACCAGTTTTGAAGTACGTTTGAGAGTACATCATCAATAAATTGAATAAAAACAACAATTAAATTAATAATTAGGCATTTAGCTGACTAAATGATTCATGGTACATCTCATCCGAGACAACAGTGTTGTTTTAGCTCCTTTGAGTTTCCCAACAGATCTAGCCAAACCTGATCCTATATTTTTCTATCAGCTGTAAGTTCTAACATAGAAAATAATGTTAAAAAATATTGAATAATTGTTCCTCTCATTCGATAATAATTATGTTCACATTTTCTCATCTTGTGAAATCTTTAACATAACATTTTTAATTGGCCTTTTGCGGGAATGGCGTTGCGAGAACATTTGGATTTGGCTACAGCCGAAGTTGGCTAAACTGAAATTTTGGTTTGACTTAAATTAGGTGTCACTGAAGGTAAACGAAGCTATATTCATGCTGCATGGGAATTGGAGTGTAGGAGCTAAAAGCAGTGTTCTGTGTACGTGCGAACTGACATCCTGTTTATCAGCCCAGCTGCTGCGTACGTGCAGCCTGACAGCGCCAGCAGCAGAGTATAACTGCTGTAGGAGGGATGAGAAAGGGACGACAATTGGCTAAAGGAAAAAGTCGTTAAGTTTATCATCACAGGATGGCATGATAAATAAATAAATCAAATAAATAAAATAAAAGAGAAAAAGGAAAATTAATTAAATGAAACGTAATAGTAATAAAACGTTAAATTGATCTAAATCTGTCATGGAATCACTAACACTGGGAAAAGGAGTAGGTAAAAAGAGGATAGGGGAGTATTTCTTAGCACAATTCACGTTATTGATTTAGCAATGCAGCTTAATTTCAGATAGATGGAGAAGTAGCACAGAAACACACTTCTAAGTGAGGAAATAAGGGAAAACTGCTGATGACCAATGCCATATACAAACAAACTGTCAGAACCCAAGCCCCCAGACCGGCCTCTCCCAGCTAACCGGCCTCCATCTTGGACCACATCTCCCAGCATGCTCCTCGCGGGAACTCCCGGCATTCTTCCAGTCACACCCAAGCCTATATATGGAAGACGCCGCACCGGCTCTTCACTCAGTCATTGTTTCATTGAAACCCCTGATCAGAGTTCTCTACCGAATAATCCAGACATCAAACATCCTTACCAAGCTCAACTCCCGTACCCAGTCGACCATCGTGACAGGATGACTGAGTCAGTAGATCCAGCGGAGTTCGAGCGCATGAAAAGAAAGACGGAGCAAATGGAAGATGAACTCATTCAGCTCCACGCCCTGATCGATCGGCTCCACACCAAACAAAACTCCCAGACCGATCTCATCCTACAATTATCCACAGCCCTCCATGCTCTCCAGCAGCAAGTCCTCGCTCCACCAAGAGGGGCCGCACTTTAGACTCCCAGAGAGGTGGAACGGAGAGACGGGGAGCCCAGACGGTCTGCTCGCCACACTTGACATGCAGTTTGAGTGCCAGCCAGGACGCTTTCCCACTGCGCGCTCTCGGGTGGCGCATCTCACCTCCCTGCTCTCCAGACGCGCGGCTGAGTGGGCCGCTGCGCTTTATAATTCCAAATCACCGGCTTGCAATGACTATGCTGCTTTTGTGTCCGCCCTCGGAAAGACTTTTGTTCCACCCAGCAGCGAAGTGGGAGCAGAAACACAACTCCTAAAGCTCTGCCAGCGGGAGCGCACGGTGTGCGCTTATGCGTCGGAGTTCCGCACCATCTCCGCCAAGCTGCGGTGGGATGACTCTGCCCTCCGAGCCGTCTTCTTGGAGGGACTGGCGACCTACATCCGTGATGAGATAGCGGGAAAGGAACTGCCCCAGACCCTGGATGAAGTGGTCGATTTGGCGCTGCGCATGGATCAGCGGGTTCTGGTTCGGCCCAAGCCCTTCACTCGCCCATCCAGGGCGCCTGGACCTCTTCCTCGTTCCCCCACACCTGCTCCCGGACCCGCTTCTGCTGATGAGCCCATGCAATTAGGCCACCTTCCTCCATAGGAGAGACAGCGACGGTGGCGCGAGGGTCTCTGTGCCTATTGTGGCTCCTCCCACCACAGACGCCTGAACTGTCCATTACGTTTGGGAAACGAAGGAACCCACTGAGTATCGGGGTCGCTCAGCCTGGGTCACCTTCAGCCCCCGCCTCTTCAAATCGACTCCTTCTACATGTTACCCTCCTTCATGGTGAGACCTCACTTCAGATGCACGCGCTGTTGGACTCGGGGGCCGCTGACAATTTTATGGACATGGATCTGGCTAAGCGCCTACGGATCCCCATGACCCCCTTGGAGAGAGTTGTGCCTGTGACCTCGGTGGACGGTAGGCCCCTCCAACCCTATCCGA